CCGCAACTCCCGCCCCTTGTCAAAATAAACAGCCAGCCTGTGGCGCGCGAGCCCCTTCTTATTTTGATACGCTGCCAGAGAGTGTGTTAGTTTTGTCACAGAATGTGGAACACAGCGTAGGTAAAATCTCATGAATACAATATTTTTAATAAACAAATAATTTGTAAGAGAAACCGATCTCAGAGGCTATCCACTCCAATCTAAACTAAAATCTTAATTTTGAGTTACGTCCGATTTTTGCCGGCTGTAGAACTGCCTTTTGAGTTTTCTTTAGTCGGTGAATAGAAAACTCGCAATTTCTATATTTCAAACAGATGCCGTTCATGTTTGGGTTGCATCCATATATCAGTATGTATATCGTATATATAAGCCTGTGATAGGAACTATCGCTCGAAATTTCTTTAATCCATAATCATTCATATGTTGACCAAACCAACCAGTTATATATTTCTCAAAGTTGTTAAGCTTTAAATATAACTAAAAGATATATCTGTCAAATTTGCCAGTTGCCGTGGAAGGGTATTTGGTATTCGGCAAGCCGCTGGTAACCCTTCCTGCGGTTACCATCGCTTCATGTTGTTTTATTTGATGGTAAATTTCAACGAAATTAAGCATAAAATATTAAAACTTCAACAAAAATGTTGGTTGTAGTCGACTTTAAGGCGCATTTCAATTCGTTTTTAGCTTTTAAATTTGCATTTTATTGCAATTTGCTTGATATTTGCTGTTAGTTGTTGTTGTGCTGTGCACACATAAATTCTTGTTTTATGTTATTTTATGCATTCGGCTTTTATTACCAATTTGCCATTTAGCCAGAGACTCAGCTAGCAGCAGCCGCGTTGATTCCATTACCATTTCAAGGTATCTCCAATGCGACTCCTTATATATATCTTTTTTTTACGGAGGGGATGCTTGGCCATGTTAAACAAATGATAATTTATGCAAATGTCTCTAGTAGGAGCTGCGTAAAAAAAATCGAGAAATAACAGAAACTGCTGAGGGTTGCACAAGTCGCAGGGCAAACGCAGAGGGTAACCCAAAAAATTGTCTTTTAGTTTGTTGTTTTTTGCAGCGAATTCGAGTTTTCTTTTCTTCGCATTTCTCTTTCATTGTTCCTTAGAAATATACTTCTATTTTATTTTTTGTGCTGACATGCTTTTGTCATTTATTTTGTTTATCTCTATGTGCGCTTCGCTTTTTATAACAAATTATTATTATGTTTTATTGTGAGCCTGCCGTTTGCTGAGCCCAGCAATTTCTTCTACGCAGTTACTCACTCGCCTCAGGCGCTGTAAATCACAACCAAAGCATACACACACATACACACACAGGCTGGCGTCCATTTTTGACCTTAACTTTCCTCTTTTGCCTTTGCTAGTTTCTTTCTTGCCTTTATTTTGATAGGCCTGCATTTGAGTAATGAGCTGCTTATCCGGCAAAAGGTGCTCTTTATTCTTTTCGACAGTTAATGATACGATTTGGCTTTATTTTTCGCGCTGTTATCATTAATGAACAGCAAAAGCGGACGTGCTTAGGTTTCTCAAAGCTCAAGAAAATTTGGATATATAACACAAAAAAATGTTGTTCATATATAGTTTGTGCAAGGCTTAGAGTGCACTTTACAGATATCAGCAAAAAAGTTTGTTGAATTATAATATATTGGAATTTAATATTACACAGCAAGTGAACAACAAAACACTGGCAATGAAAATTGCTGGACTTCATTCATATTTAAAAGTTCAGCTTGAGTGAAAAGCTGGTATTTCAATTATTTTAAAATTCGTTTTGCCTTCAACCCTTAATAGTTAATATTAAATTTTAATATTAATACTTAAGCCCCTTATTAAAATTGCACCATGCTTAAGTATGCTCTAAAGGGCGTTTCATTAGTTCGCCTGCTAATTATTCACGTAGAATATCCAACAGCATAGTTTTGGATAAAATCTTTAAAAATTACCCTTAAAAAAACGTTTCGTGCTTCATCCCACTTTGCCAGCGCGCATTATCTTTGCACTTACTTTGTTCAACACTTTTGCACAGTGATTATAAAAATATTCCAACTCTTTTGCCTTGACCACAGCATTTAATTGTAATCCCAGGCAATCTCTGAGTCATAAAGTTTTTTCATTAAATTTGCTTTTTAGCGCAGCGGGCTTAAAGGACAGCCAAGGAGTTGCCCAAAAAACGCTACGAAGTCATTACAAACAGCTTAAGTTTATGTTAAACACGCCTACATTACCAGATTTTGCATTTCCAGAATCGAAAAGCAAAACTCAACCAAACTTCAAGTTGAAAGTTTTTCGGTAGAAAGCAGCTGAAGCTGAAGGAAACTCCAGAAGTAGCTGGGGGCAACCGTTGGTGTGGGAGTTGCTGTAGAAGCAGTGGCATGTAATAATTGTAATTTGGATGTGGCAACACTGGAGCGCAGCGAAAACACGAGAAATAACAATCAGAAAGCATTTAGCAAGCAACTTTTGCGTAGCTCAAACTGTGGGGGGGAAGGAAACAAGTCAAACTAAAGCAACTGGCAAGTAGCAGGTGGCGCCCTCTGTTGTTATGGCTTCATATGTGGCTGAGAGTGTGTGTGTGGGTGGGTGCGTGTGTTGGGGGAAAGGGGCGTGCGCTCCCCCTTTGCTTGTAATGTCAACGCATTGCCTAGAACTTTAACCAAAAGCAATGGCAACAAAACAGGTCCTTTAACGATTAAACAACGACAGGAAAAACCATGTAAGAGCGAAAACTCCCACCATACATAAATCTGCACTCAGGGGGTGAATGTGTGTGGGTGTGTGTGTGTGTGTTAGTGTGTGTTTAGTAGCAATTTTAATGGCTTGACCTACTTACAAGCAGTTGTGTTTCTATGAAACACTTAAAGAGCAGAAGTTACTTTTATAAGCACTTCGCAAATCGTTTAATTGCTTAAAGACGAAGTTCTTTATAGATCGGAAATACAGTAAACGCTCGAATAGAACGACTGCGACTTATATAATATTGACATTATTTTCTATCCTTTCTTGTAAAATAATCAACAAATTGTACACTCTTAAACGAGAAAAATATAAGAATATTTTTAAAAGAATATTTTAATGAAACGTTTTAAGTTTCTGGAAGATTGTACTTCCCGTGCGAGCACTTTAAAGTCTTCCATCAAGTTAACAGTCCAAATATGTATAATAATCTAAACACATTACCAAGAAAACGGCATTCACTGTGTATACACACAGGGGTGGGACTGAGGGGAGTAGAGAAATGCGACTCAAAGGCAGCTTTTGAGACAGACAAGACAAACATTGGGTAAACATGGGCTGGGGCCTGGCGGGGCAGCCACTTGAAGCAGAGTCACAAAAGCCTATTAAATAACATGGGTCTTACACATGCGTCCTTAACAGCAGCAGCCAAAGAGCAGGCAAAAGTTTTGCGCACAATTGCCAGGATAAGGCAGAAAATTCGTAAGAGCAGCGGCAGACGAGCCAGTCACATGCAGCCATATGAAATATGAAAATATATGAAAATATTCATGACAGTGTGAGAAAAAAAAGAGAAAAAAAATAAATAAAGACGCACGCTTGATATAAAAAAACAACATAGACAGACATGAAAGAAACCAAGAAGAAAACTTGCACACAGCCAAATGGCAAAAAGTAAACAAATAAACAAGCACACGGAGTCAGGACCATGAAAGATCTGGCCACATATATACTGTGAGCAGGCGATGCATTAGCGATGGGTACGTGTTGCACTCTTATGTCATACGACAAGAAGTGACACGAACTCGCTACAGCAATCACAACTTTGTTCTAGTCTAAAATAAGAATTGTCCATTTCGATTGAGTGCCATAAATGTGCGTATTATAAGCACTGACTCAAAATTAGTGTGACCAAACGTTTATTTCAAGCAAAAATTAGGTATTTTTCATCAGCACATTTATATTGAAGTATTTACGCGTATAAGTCCTTATACAATAAATACATATTTAAAAAAAAAAAACTTGATAAATAAATTCATAGGGACTATATTCATTCTAGTTCAAAAAGTGTGACCATATAAATACTGATCATACATAGCATTTCATTATTTTTACCGAATATCGAGAAACCTTGCGATTTGTTATTTCTATTCTTCTGTGTGGATTCGTGCGTGCTCTGAAAAGACACGACTGGCAGCTACCTCTAGCACGATTGGCCTGGTTGCCAGCTTGTTAACTGAGCACAAGGGCTCACCATTGAGGCAACTTTCGTTACACACTCAAACACACACCCCTCCAGACACACTTGAGGCATAGCTTGGGCTCGCTTCATGTAAGAAACGACACGCAGTTCGGGTCGAAGGACAATGTTCGTCATGTGTCCATGCGACAGGACATTTGCATTTGTATAAGACATTGAGACCAGGTCTTATTTTTGTGGCATCTTTGACTAAATGTAGAGGAAAATTGTATTATTTTAGAGACTGGTTGAATGTAAACTGCTCCAAGTTAGTTGTCTTCCTCTTATTGATGCTGTTGTTCTTGTTGCTGCTGCTGTTGCTGCTGTTAGTTTTGTTGTGCATTTTGCTGTCCACATGACAAACCACTTGAGACCTGAGCGAGGGCAGGATGCAAGTGCCTTATGTAAAACATTTGCCTTTGAGTTGTGCGTAACAATTTGTACAATTTGTTCTTTAAATTGGTTACTTAATAAGTTTTGCAGAATGGGTTTAAAATATTAACAAACTTAAATGTTATTATTGCATTTGTATGTGGCAGGATAATCCAATGGAATAATTACGTATATGAATATAACATTATGTGCTTGCATGTGCCTTAAACTTGAGATTTGTATTCTATAGAAAGTCTTCTCTTATGCAGTTGCTACAAATTCGAATACCTATGGAAGCTCTGTTTCTTAATTTTGAATCTTACCATATATCTCTCTATTTCTATAAGCATGCGTAGGCTTATGAAGTACTCGTTTGCAAACTAATCGCTTTTAAAATCTTTTCTAAATTGTCACATTGTGTTCATAGATTTAGACATATTGTGAAAACAGATCGGAGAGTTTTTACATACATTCGCTCCAATCTTTCCCTTTCTCTGTGTGTCAATTTGTCAAGTTCATAAAATTACAGTTTTTGTAGTAAGCACAATTTGAAAATAATTTTGGCCCGGCGACTTAACGAAATTCATGGAGAAAGATCTGGACTTTTTGATCAACGCATTGTCGCAGCCCAATTCCCCACTATGGGTGACCTATAGTCCGGCTCAGATAAGGGAAATGCGTGAATCCTTTGTCAAGCTGCAGGATCTACTGCGTCACAATCCCTTGTATGTGGAGCGTGCGCCATGTCATCCAGTCCGCTTCAAGGCCGGCGGGAATACAGACTTTAGGCCCATGGCCAAAGATATGCCGCTCACAGTGCCACATATGAACATGCCCAGCGATGCGAAGGAATCATTAACAGTCCTAGTGTCGGAGTCGACATCAATGGAGAGCTTCAGCGATTCGCCCTCGCTGATTAGCAGCAGTTATCTGGGCGGCAGCCAAGAAACACAAAGCAATGACAAACAAGAGCTGGCCACGCAGGGTGATGACGAGAGGAGCACGACGGATAACTTTCTGGCACTGGTGCCCTATCAGCAGGAGCCCAGCCAAGAGCTGGTGCGCTACGAACCGCCCTACGATGAGTATGATTCTGACTCTGATACGCTACGAGGCAGTTCCAGCTGTGACTCTGTATCTGGCTCCGGCGCCAGATCTACGGGCAGCTCATCCGTCGGTGAGGTGTCCATCAGTATACCCATGCAAATGGAATATGTGTGGCATAACGTGGACTACAAGGCGGACAGCACCGACAGCGATATGACCATCATTGCGGATGGCTATAATTATATTTTGAGCAGCTAACAAGTAAACCGCTTGAAAAGATCAGGATCATCATTAAATTAAATTGCATCGCTTGATACACCTTACTTTTATGATATATATGTATATTTATATATTCCGCAAAGGACTCATTCTCGGCTCAGTAAAAGTGATTAAAAACAGAAATTTTAATTGAAAATTCGCACAATTGCGTAGGCATTTGAGCTTTTGCCCGCCCTTGGGCCCTCTCTACAAACACTCGGAAATACACACACACACAATTATTCACAAACACTCACCAACACTCATTCACGCACTCGGTTGAGTGGAAATGTGTATTTTGCCTGCGGTCATTTGTTCATTTCTCTGTGCTCCTGTCTGCGCCAGACAGCAAAACTCTCCTACTATCCTACTATTATTTGCGAGCAAATACACATATTTTTGACTTCAATGTTTCGGCGTGTAATTTCAATATTCTCATACCCTGTGCTGGCTAAATGTGTCAGTAAGGGTATCAGCTCTTTGAGCCTATCATTTCGTGTCTTTAATACTTGTAGCTTGTGTCTGCATCTTAAATGTTTTGTTTGTTTTGTTTTTGAATCATACTTGTTTTGGATATAAATGTTCCTGATAGGGATTGAAGCCTGGACTATGAATTCTTGATATCCAAAAAACTTCACATCAGCAAAAGTTATTCAATATCTTTATTACGTCATATTTTCATCCTAGAGTTAAAGATCTGCTAAGCAGATTGTATTTTTTTTTTTTATTTAATATATCTAGATTTTCTTTTTTTGTTAAATTGTATCTCCAGATAGGAGATATGCACTCCATTTCTTCTGATTCTCCATATATCTGGTATTATTGGAGTGAAATATTATGGGTGCTAAAAATAAACAAAGTAATATAAGAATCAAATATTTAAAATGTTGTTGCCTTCAGCCTCTTTACAAGCTATCTACTAGTCGACCACTCGCATATTCATCTTTTTAATTTTTTTGTTGGGAACATTTTATGTGCGTGCGTGCTGCAATTTCCTTTACCATCTATTCAAATTTAGAAGGAGAGACAGACAAAGAGACAGAGAGCCAAATAGACAAACAACTACCGAAAATTCTAATTTAATTTTGTATGAAATGTGCTTTGCTTTTGCCATTGCGGGGGGTTGATTGCTCTTCGTGTGGCCCGCAAAGTTGGTGGTGGGCGCGTTGGTGGTGCTGCTGCTGCACACAGGTGGTTTGGCAGCGACCCTCCAAGCAATTTGCTTTCGCTTTTTGCCGCTTTTGATTTTCCATATGTTGGGGCCCAGGTCGAATGCCATGCGGAGTGTGGATGGCTTCAGTCCCAGCTGATGCGGCTGCTGTTGCTGCTGCTCTTTTGTCAAGTTCATTTGAATGGTCGGAGGGCAATTGTGGAGCTACGATGACCATTTATTCTTATATGCATATTAAACATTGGCATTTTGGCAATGTCTGCTATAAAATTTGAATTGTATGCAATTAGTTTAATGGCCGCTTTTGTGCTCTTCTGCAATTACTTGAGTTGAATTGGAATCGATTTGTTATTTACAGAGCGCTGAATTTATATGTTCATGCCGGAATTGTTTACAGAGTAATCATGTTCATAATATCAAGTATTTTTTATCCACAATTATTTCTAGTTTACTCTAGTCTAAATTATATAAATATTTACTGCATTAATCGTGTGTGTAATTGAATAAAAACTAAAAATATCTTCAGGCTTTGCCTAACTAAAAGGATAATTTCAAATATTTATCCAAATTAATTGATAATTCGGCCACACTAAAAACTTGGGTTGATAAGCTGTAACTATATATATTTTATTTTCATTAGAAATTTTGTTTATACTTTGATTATAAATTGATGATGGTAATTGATTAAGATTTCGTAGTTTGCTTAGTTTTTTAATTTATACTTTTTCTACAACTTAAGTATTTTTAGCTCATTTACATGTTCCTTAACTCCTTTACTTCGATGAGTACGGCCACATTCAAATAAACACACCACCTTTCAATACATAACATATGAAAATACATATATGTATAAATGATTATATATATATATATATTTACTCTAGCTGCTAATAGTACTTCTCCCTATATCAGCTTATCTCTGATAACTGATAACTGCCATGAATAGTTACGCACATTACTGTGCTTACCAACTTGTATCACATTCCAAACTATCAATCAGTGCATTATTGCAGCACCGCTCAGTTCGCTTCATGCCGTCCTTCAATTATCATCAAAAATGTAAACTAAACTCATTAATTACTGCAATTAGGTAAAATACAATTTTTTTCCCTGCACTTAAATGGTCTTTATCTGAAAATCGTTGGCTGGTCTCGTATTGTGTTGCTAAATGTTACGCACGCGACCGGCAACGAATAATGAGAATCGGAGAGAAAGGGAGCTAGAGAAAGAAGTAGAAGAAGAAAAAACGACCCACTCCAAACAGCGTCAAATCGCGTTGAGGTAAGAGCAGACCGGTCTAACCGAGGCGCTGATTAATGGTCTCTTCTTGCGGGCACGTCATAAACGGGCAGGTTCCTAGCAGTTCCTTACTCAACTGTCCCCCACTGCGCCCACTCCAACCCTTCGGCCGTTGGTGTATTATCAGCGCTTGACTGGGCAAAGCGTTGCGGCCCTGCCACGGGGGTTGGGAGGTTGGGCTTGTCGTCCAGTCAAGTATAATTAACAACTTTGTTGTGCAGGGTTTTCCGACTCGCACTCTTCCGTTCTTGCGTTGTTAAAGTTTTTTTTTTTTAATTTTTGTCAAGAAATTGCAAAAGTTGTTGCTCGTTTTATGTAAATGATGTGTAAACACCACGTGCAGCGCCCAGGCGGGCACAGTTCATAATCCTCGCCTGGAATGCAGCTCAGTGGCAGCTCGGGGGGTACAATGTTAAAAAATATTCAATGCATATTTCGTGGCGCATGTCCATTAGGTGGAGAGTACAACGACACGTGTCGCTGCGATTTATTAGCATAATTTCTCTTCTTCAAGTTTTTATGTGTGTGTGCTTTTTTAAGCACGGGAAACATTAAAGTGAAATTGATGTTGATGTGGGTTTCGTTTTTGTGGGGTCTTTTCGTTAGTTTCCCGGTAAAACTTGTGACATAAATCCGAACAAAGTTTTGATGCGCGGCAGGTTTCACTTTTCAATTTCCCTGACAACCTCGAGGCAGCATCATCAGCATTAGGAGCAGCATCAGCCGCATCCTCAAAACTTCTCACTTAATTGTTGTACATTTGTCAACCTGAGATACGCACACAGACACACACACTTAGACGTAAACTCGAAGCGATCCCAAAGACGTTGTCAACACTTAGAGACAGCACTTTAAATTCAGATACACACGCAGACACAATAAGCTATAAAAGCCATTGGCGAGGCGTAGCTGGAGACGCGCGTATCTGAGTATCTGGTGGATACACGTGTCTAGTCTTGTGCTATTTATGTCTCAGTTAGTAGCACATTTGCTTCGACTAGTTCGTAAATTAATTGGATTTGCAATTATATACCAGACAACGCAGACAAGAAACGACAGCTGCGTGTGAGAAGCGCATAGAGAGGCGCCACTAAGCTGCTGCTATTAGAACCGCATAGCATTGCAAATTAGTCGTAAAGTCGTCTAATCAATAGTTGAGAAATGCATTTCATGACTGTTAAGCTAAAGTTTATACTAAAACTGCGAAACTTTGAATACTTGGAACTGCAAAGTATTTTTTGTTTATAATATGATATAATATAATACAGCATGGAATGTAATTAAATTAATTTAGAGATATTTTATATAATAAAAGATATCTTCGATCTAGAATCGTATTCAAAGATAACGAAAGATAAATATATAACGAAATTCAAGAATAATGAGGCAGTAAATAGGAAAATATTTTTTAAAGAAAACTAAAAAAAAAAGAAAACAGAAGCCGTTTTGTTTATGCACAGAAATAAACAGTATTAATTCTTATAAAGAACACTCAGTTAACACAAATCATATCTCACAGAAAGTAACAGTAGACCATGACCAACCTCATGTTTCGCATGGAACTGCCATTTTCTGACGTGAGTCTTGGGGGCGCTCCCCAAAATAAGCTTTGGACATGTGTGTTTAATGTGCGTCGAGGTTGAAAAATGTTCAGTTTGAAAATGTAATTATATGCCCGAGCAAGTCGTAAACATCATTAGGCAAGACAATGCCATCCGACAGATACAAAACCCAAACAAATATTTTTAATAAGCGGATAGATGCAACCCCCACCCTTGGCCGTGCCGGGCACGTGCGTTGTTCCCGGCAACATTGATGGAAATATTTGAAATTGCAATAAAATGTCTGACTGAGCATTGAGTATACGATTAATTTATATATATGCTCCTAACTCGTACTGCCCTGCTCGATGTTTAAATCGGCCTGCCTGTGGACTGAAAATCCTTTTAGCTTGCTTTTTTTTTTTTTGTTCTCTCCTTTTTGTGCAATCCTAATTTTGCGTACGAACATGAAAGGCCACATTGCTATGTGACCAGAGGCCGCAAAGCGTATCTGCTGCACCCCCTTGGCTTGCCGGTGGCGCAGACGCACCCCTCTGAGCCAACTCCCTCTCGCATGCCCCGCTGCAGCAAGGTGTCCCTTCTCAAATGCGTCGCGTTTTTAATTCCACTTCCGTTTCGCTACTTTTGCAAAGATTTTCGGTGGTTGCTGCCGCTGCTGCTGCTGCTGCTGCTGTTGCCATGGCGCACATAGCTTTGGTTGGGGTGGGTTTTTCCATCTAACGAAGTTTTCCCGGCAAACGGTTTTGCGCACTCTTTTAGTTAATTTCCACTGCAATGCAAAACTGAGGCAACTGCATTTCAAATTAAATCCTCAGCGAGCTATTTGTCATTTTTGACAGTTAAACTGTTTTTCGGCGTCGCTGAAATTGTGGCTTATGGTCGCAGTATTACGTCCTGCTTTTCCTCCCATTTTCATTTTCACTCTCTCCTTTTTTTTTTTGCTGCGCAGTTGATATTTCGCTTCCTGATACTCCCAGTGCGGCGTGACTCCTGTTCTATTTGCCGTTGTTGCTGTCAGTGTGAGCTGCTGTTGTTTGTAATTAGAGCTATAAATATTGTGCTTGTTGTTGGTATGAGAAAAGTTGGAAATTTTTGATTAAGGAGAGCGAGACAATTTGATATACAACTCCAGAAAGTTAAGTGTGAGATCGGTTTTCAAATGTTTTTGATTAAAGCAAAACAACTTAGATTATTATCAAATGAGTTTCTACTAACACTTGAGCTTGGGTTAGAAAGATAAACTGGCAACTCCTCGATATACAACACCTTGATATAAGCTGTATACAGGCCAGCTCCTGGCTAAGGAACATAAGACTTGAAAGAGGGTATAGAATAAATTATTTAATGGAAAATGAGTTCCGAACTAAGTTAGTTATTATCTAGGTAAAAAAATGTGAAGAGTTAAAAATAAAGTATATTGTAAATACTTAATACTGAATACAGAATACTTTAAGATCCTCCTATTCGTTTGTATTAATCAACTAATTATAAAGCAAATTCAAAATTGCGATCGTTGTGTCCGTAGAAGAAAGTTTTGCAATTATTTCGAATATATTCATCTGGGAATTGTATTCCATATCATATTTTTTGTTATGCTTCTAGTTGTCGCCAACTACCTTCGTCTGCTTGAAAACGGGCAAAGCTTATCGTAACCAAAATATTTGGTCCACAAATCTGCACACATTAACAGATTTGCGCGAAACAATGGGAAAAAGCTGTTGAAATTCCCAAACGGTTCGTAGAAAGAGATTAAAATCAAATCAACGCATAAATTGCCAACTCTTTGGCGAATCCTGCGCTAAGGACATTAACGCCTTAAGCCCAGTTAATGGCGAAGCTGCGCATACGACCATAAATCATCAAACATAATAGACCAAAAGACAACAACACAAAAATGAAAACAAACGAAATGAAATTTAAATTCGAGTGAGGCAGCAAGCATTTGCATGCAACATCTATAAAAAAAAAAAAAAACAAAATTATAATAATTCCCCCCTTGCGATCTGCCAAAATCCGCTTAAAGTACATAACAATCAAAAATTATGGCCTTATAACGGCACAAAGGGTTTCGACTTGATTGGGAATTGGGTTTTTTTTTTTTTTATTTTATTTGGGCTTAGGCTTGCCGCTCGTCCGCACGTCCACTCTTCCGCTCTCTCTACTCGACTCGAAACCCAAGCTGCAACAGTTGCACAACCAATCGCCACAAATGGCGTCTATTTCGAAGAGTTGTCGAGGGGGAGTTGGTGTATCCACAGAGGGGAACAAGCTGCCGGCTGGCATTGGCCATTAAAAAGTTTTGTCAAGTTAAATTACCAAAAATTGCAAATTGCTTGGATTATGCCCTGTTCAAGGACATGGACATTGCTGCCTGTTGTCCTGACCACTTTCACTTCCTGTTGCCCTGACTGTGTGTGCGTGCGTGTGTGTGTGTGTGTGTGTGTGTGTCTGGGCTGCATTGTGTGGCTAAAGGATTTCGTACACTCAATATAATTAAGGGCTTGAGCCTTGAGCCCAAGTTATGCGCCACACAAAACGCTCTCGTCCTGCCCCTTACGGGCCCTTTGTGTCCAGGCAACGTTTTTGTGTATTTTGTGGTCTGAGGTCTGGTTTTTGCTTAGATACAGCCTCTGTGTGTCTGTGTGTGTGTGTGTGTGTGTGTGTCTGAAGAATTTGTCGCTCAGCATTTGAATTGTATGTTAAATTAAATTTTACCACAGAGACCAGCCACACTCTCTCTTCTTCTGACCAGTCATGCCGCCCCACAACGACGCCTTGGGGGGACTTTTTTCCAAAGTCATTGGCTCCACAGTGTGCA